TTTCCAAGGAATCGACCTTCTTAAACTCGCTCAGCTTCAAAAAGAAGACATTGATCTTCAGCATGAGTTATCCTCGACAACTCTTAAACTAAGTATTAGGCAGATGGGAACAGGTAAGGAAACCTTACTCTGTGACACATCTACAGGTAGGGATCGTCCAATTGTACCAAAACATTATCGCCGCAACGTCTTCAATACGTTGCACAATCTTTCTCATCCAGGTGCTCGTGCAACAATCGAACTTATAGCCGAACGCTTTTGTTGGCCTGGTATGAATAAAGACGTGAGGGAGTGGGCACGCTCCTGTGTAAGCTGCCAGAAATCTAAGGTGATCAGACACAACAAATGTCCCTTAGGCTCTTTCAAAACCCCTGACGCTCGTTTCGACCACGTCCATCTAGATTTGGTAGGACCCTTACCCGACTCGAACGGATACTCATATCTCCTAACATGCGTAGACTGTTTTACTCGATGGCCAGAAGCAGTACCGATTAAGGACATTACTGCTGAAACAGTGGCTAGCATTTTCGTCGAACGATGGGTAGCAAATTTCGGCTGCCCTTCAACCATCACTACAGACCGCGGACGCCAGTTCGAATCTGGACTTTTCCGTTGTCTGACCTCACTATTAGGAATCACGCGCTTCCGAACGACCGCCTACCACCCACAAGCAAACGGGTTGGTAGAACGTTTTCATCGACAATTAAAAGCTTCATTATCAGCTTCAAACGTTTCACAGTGGACAGACGCTCTTCCACTCGTCTTGCTAGGTATCCGCAATGCAGTGAAAGCTGACATTGGATACACGGCATCTCAACTCGTTTACGGAACGACACTCCGACTCCCAGGAGAATTCGTGGATCCTTCAGCTTCTTCATTGAACATGGATCTAAACTCTTACACGAGTAGGCTTACAAACGCTATGCGTTCAGTTAAACCTGCTCACACTCGACCTCAATCAACTGATGTTTTCGTTCAACCCGAATTACGACATAGTACACACGTCTTCGTTCGAGACTCACATCGACGACCCCTCGAATCAGCATACGAAGGACCCTTCAAAGTTCTTCAACGCGAACCTAAGTACTATGTAGTCGATAAGAACGGTACGAAAGATAGCATCAGTATCGATCGACTCAAAGCTGCGTACCTAGAAGGAAACCCTAGCTACGTCGATTTTCCTTCGGTACAAGCAAACGATATATTGGTAACGAATCAAATATATCTTTCCTGCCTCTTCTCGTCTGACTTCTGATTCCTATCTGACTGGGAACAATCGAATTTAGAAGGTGCTACTGGTATCTAGTTGTAAAACTAGAATATCCGTTGCATCATCATTACCTTTTTAGACACAATATAGAAAAATACAACCTCCATGTTGCACATGTTTTTTCTTTGAATGTGCATATCCATCTCAATTATTCGAAACAGAGGACTGGTCTGCTGGACATTTAGATGTGTTTCAACTGCGATAAGTTGCAAGAAAAACACACTACTTTGAACAATTTAGCCAGATATCCTGTGAGGTCATCACTTGAAATTCACAAGATACAGCTTAACTGCCAGATGTCTTGGATATCTCAAATCTGAAAACAGGAACTCGGATAGACAGCCTAAAATGTCATCAATGCTAGGGAAGCGTGAGTTCTTTCCTTTATATTTTTCATCGATTTACTGCATCAAATACATTTTATTGACCTATCATTCGTTTTGTTTCGTCACTCGTTGCCTTGTTTATCAGTATCAGATCCCAAGACTGTTTCACTTTGTCATGTATTCGAATATCGCTATACTTCCATGATCACTAACAGTTCCTTTAAAAAAGTGCTTGGTACTATTATACTTGACCGTGCAACGTTGACACGTAACCTACAGTTCATGAATTGCCACTGCCTCATGTATGTGACATGATGCTTGAAAATGTAATGTTTTATAACGGAATGTGGAACATAGGCACTCGAGAAAGATGTGATGTTTGATCAAACAACTACACCGAAAGCATCTGATTTCATAAAAGGATAAAGGGCAGGGTCTCTGATCAACAAAATTAATAGTGAGAGTGACAATTTCAATCCAACAACATTTGAGAAACAGAACAAATACCACTTCATGGGCTTGAAGTCATGGATACACAGCGACTCACAACGTGCTTGTTCGTAACACTTTTACGTTCAAGGATCTCAAAGGCAGTAAAGCCAGATGTCAGGAAGGAATTAGATGATATATTTGTAAGATGGTCGATGTGTCCGCAAATATGTTGTCCAAGCTGAGGGATGGGTAGCACGGCTAACCCATCCGTGATTCGGTGAGGATGCTTGACCAAGCGCCTTCACTAGGGATGTCCTTACAAACTTACGCCTGTTACTCCCAATGGAGCATAGGCCGCCGACCAGCTTTCTCCAACCCACTCTGTCCTGGGCTCCCTTTTCTAGTTCTATCCAGTTCTTGTTCATTCTTCTCACGTCTGTCTCTATTTGTCGGCGTAATGTGTTCTTTGGTCTTCCTCTTCTCCGTTGACCTTCTGGACTCCATGTGAGGGCTTGTCTTGTGACACAATTAGGTGATTTCCTCAAAGTGTGCCCAATCCACTTCTAGCACTTCTTCCTGATTTCTTCCTCTGCTGGAATCTGGTTTGTTCCCTCCCACAGTAACTTGTTGCTGATAGTGTCTGGCCATCGGATCCGAAGTATTTTGCGTAGACAGCTGTTGATGAACACTTGTATCTTCTGGATAATGGCTTTCGTATTTCTCCACGTCTCCGCCCCATACAGTAGAACTGTCTTGACATTTGTATTGAAAATTCTAACCTTGGTGTTGGTTGACAATTGTTTTGAGCTCCAGATGCTTTTCAGTTGTAGGTATGCTGCTCTTGCTTTGCCGATCCGCGCTCTCACATCTGCATCTGATCCACCGTGTTAATCAATGATGCTGCCCAGATATGTAAAGGTTTCCACATCCTCCAAAGCTTCTCCGTCAAGTGTAATTTGATTGGTGCATATTGTATTGTATCGAAGAGTCTTGCTTTTCTCTTCCACATATTTACGTTTGTCGGTTCTGATGCTCCTCTTCACTTGCTTGTTTGCCTCTGCGCATTCGGCTTGTGCCTTGGCTTTTTCCGCTCTGGTTCGGCTGGTGTTGATTGCTGCCTTCTTGTTCCTCCTTGCTTCAATCTTAACCAGTGTACCAACAGTGATCCATTCCTTGTGATGGTGCTTCTTTTGGCCCAGAACCTTTTGACACGTTGAAACGATTGCCTCCTTGATACCTTTCCAGTTGCTCTCCATGGTAGTCCCCTCTCCATTGAGTAGATCATGAAAGGCCTGGAACCTATTGCTGAGGGCTATGTTGAATTTGTTGAGTTTGTCAGTATCTCGAAGAAAGGCCGTATTAAACTTTTGTGATGTTGTCCGCGCCGTTGTCCACTGCTTCTTGAGTTTTAGTTTCATCTTGGCGACCAGCAAATGATGATCGGATGCTATATCAGCTCCTCCTCTGGTTCTCACATCCTCCATCGTCCTCCTGAACATTTTGTTGATGCAGATATGGTCGATTTGATTCTGTGTAGTATGATCCGGTGAAATCCAAGTGGCATTGTGTATGTTTTTGTGTGAGAATATGGTGCCACCTACGACCAGTTTATTGAAGGCACATAGGTTTGCAAATCTCTCACCATTTTCGTTCCTTCCTCCCAGTCCATGTTGTCCCATGACGTCTTCGTATCCACTGTTGTCCATTCCAACCTTAGCATTGAGATCTCCCATCAGAATTGTCAGGTCCTTGGTTGGGCACTTCTCGACGATCGACTGCAGCCTATCGTAGAATTGGTCTTTAGCGTCTTCATCGTAGTCATTGGTAGGCGCATAGCATTGGATGACGTTCATTGTAATGCCCTCTCTCTTTGTTCTGAAGGAGGCTTTGATGATCCTCGGTCCATGAGATTCCCATCCTATAAGTGCATTTTGTGCTTTTCTAGACAGCATCAGTGCCACTCCTTGTGTATGTGGGGCATTTTCTTCTTCATGACCGGAGTATAACAGAAGTTCTCCTGAAGACAGTCGTTGTTGTCCAACCTGCGTCCAATGTGTTTCACTGATTCCAAGCACTTCCAGGTTGTATTTTCTCATTTCTGCAGCAATTTGGAAGACTCTTCCGGTCTCCCACATTGTCCGGACATTCCATGTACCTATAAAAATTGTCGCTCTGGTTGTAAGAAGGTGCATCGGCCTCATGACTTCCGAAGGAACTCGGCTTTCATCATGAGACGTCATAATTATTCCTTCTACTCCCAGGGCAGAGTTTGAATGATTTTTTCTGGTTAGCGTTTTTTAGCGAGTTGATTTTCTACGGGATGGGGTCGCTAACCCCATGCCCAACCCTCCTCCTTTACCCGGGCTTGGGACCGGCAGTAACCCCCAGAGGAACTACAGGCGGAGCTAAGTCTCCACTGCACAAGCAATATACTCTTATACCTGTTCCTAAAGACGGACGCAAGTGAGCTGGAAGCAATAAACGAGACAGGAAGACACTCTTAACTGGATAACGAATTACTATGGAACCGGGTAAGAATAGCAATTAGTATAACGTTTGATGTACAATTAGAATATTATTTACTTTATCTACATTGAGAGAATTAGCAATGATGTATGAAGGCCAGTATTAATTCTAAGTATTTATTGTCAGTTTATTTTGTAAAATGATTGTTTACAGACATATTGAGGCAGCAAACAGGCTCAGAAACTTAGTTGTTACCAATTTTACTAAGCTTAGACATATTTAGATTGTTTCATTTGTGTCAGTGAGGAATCGTCGAAGTCATTGAACATTTTAGATGTGCTAAGGTGGTAATGCTGATAAAGTACACTATACAATACTTTCCAAAAAGACTAACTAGTGCTCATAAACTGGTTGTTTCTGAAACTGGGTATTTCTCTTGGTCGAGTTAACCAATCAGATAATTATCCTATGCTCACTTCTTATTGGTCCATTTTATATGTTGGAAACCACACCCTATCGCTCAAAATCTGAAATACCTCTATACAAACTACGATATAAAAAATAAATTGCAAACTGACTTTTACAGTTGAAGAATGACTAACAAACCAATTATTCCTCAAAATTCTCAGACACCAGAAGATTCAACAGAACAATTTGATCCACAGTCGATAAGTTTACGAGCTCAAAAAAAGTTGGTCGGAAGTTTACCAAAAGGAATTATTAAATTATTTCTTGATGATTCATCGGCTCGCTTATTTGAAAATATATTTAGGTTAATAAAACAATATACAGGTAATAATAAACTAGCTGCTTATCTGACAAAGCAGGCAATCAAATTAAATGTTAAGGCCTTAATTTTAATATCCAATGACATACTATCAGACGAACAATTAAACCATGCCTATGAATTTCATGAGAAATGTCATCAAATAGCTGAAATCGCACTGCGCTTAGGTCGACCCAAGCGCCGTCTCATGCCAGGTGTTGAACCGTCAATTGACAAATTGATACAAACAATGAAGGAAGCTAACCAAACGTTAATAGAAGCTGTTAAGCACCACATTAGTCAACAATCACAAGACAAGTTTAAAGAATTTTCGGACTTTTTCTGTCGTCGCGAATTTGTCGTTGAAGTGTTTACTAATAAAGTAAAATATTCAACGCATATGGAGAAAATCTATGATGACCTCGAAGATATGATGGACCGTGGCTTATTTTAATGATTTTATTCTCAAACACAGGCAGGGAATATAACAAATCGCATATGTATAATCAAACTGTGCTTGGAATGGTACTGCGCAAAAAATACTGTGTAAGCTCGTCGGAAATGAACGATTTATGACCAATGTTATGAATTCATTATTGAGTAAACAGTCATTGCATATTTATTTATATTTCGTAAATTCACCTCATTCTTAACTAGTAAATTAATTATCGCCCTTTAGAAATTTTGTTCGGCTGAAGACCATTTTTTCGCAGATTTATGATTGCTAATGGTAAGCTCTTTCCTAAGTTTATTGAGTTGCCAGAGATAGTAATATATCACGATGAAATTATTTGTGTAAGTTCTTAGCCACTACAATACCTAAAGAAGTACACACTAATTCTGTTTAATCAACTAAATGGTAAGCGTGGATGATGTAAAGTATGAATGTGATAAATTTTTTGACGCACATTGATTTTATTTGCCACTTGTTGAGGCAGAATCAGATTGAACATCATCCTACGTAGTGTGTATGAAGTGGTGTTGAAAGAATCAGGAATGAGAAAAGTTTCTAGTTGAAATAATAATATATTTACCTAGAATGTAAGCCATAAAACCTAATCAAAAGTTGCCAAACTTCATAACAATGGAGAAATGTTTAACAAACCAGCATAAAAACGTGCACTTACTTGTAAGGGCATAATGAATATCAGGGGTTTTGTGGAGATTTAGTATTTTTCATAGTTGGATAGTCAAGATTATGTAACTTTGATGGGAAGAGGTTACCAATATACAGTCCACCTGCCAAACTACTTTTGACCCAATAATATTTTACGGGCCTGATTTTTTCGCTGAATAGGAGCTTTAGCAATTACTGCGCTGTAAAGTTCAGAACGTCTTATTTAAGTGCAATATTTTGTAAATATGATTTAAAAGGTTCCAAATAAAATTCAAAAGAACTCGAGAGACTGATCGATTTCCAATAACAGATATGGACTAGCACTAGCAGTTGTAACTGAATACATGTTACTAAAATGAGAACGAATGTAGTGTGAGCAGCAAAGAAAGAATTTTTATCCGAAATCGATTATTCTGTTAATACATTTTCTATAAAAAAAGAAACTTCGGCACCACCGCTTAAAACAAATTAGTGATTAAATTCAGAGAGGTAATGTTTTTAAAGTTCTAGTGAGCTCACCAGTTTGTTAGCAATTTGAAATACTAACCAATAACATTTGGAAAAGCTTATCACATTCTAAATGCACTGGTAGATTTTCAGACTACAAGTCAGTAGTGAACCATTGCCTGTTAGTTTTTTGGTTCCGACCACGAGATAAATGTAAATACATTTAAAGAGTCTCATATCAAGACAAATGTCTGCTAACTTCTAAATGCTGTTAAAATGATGGTTGATTATGTAGGCTATAGTAGGATTACATACATGTAAACACTAAATGGATTACCTTAGATTACGTTTAGGCATATTTTAACAATTCTCGTGAAACGCTTCAGAATAATTACTGATTCTAAAAGCTGCTCAAAAGGATTTCGACTATTCAAAACATTTTTGATTTCCACAAATATACATCGGCCGATGCTAAACTGAATAGATGACAATATCATGCGAAGAACAACGATTGTCAGGAGCATAAATAAAATATATTACGTTGACACGAACACAAGCAGTACGAATAAAGCATCATCGAGCTTGGTAGAAGTGATTGATATACATACCAGAAACATCTGCTGAGGAAGAGAGGAGATTCAAAAGATAATGTGAAGAACGGAAAATATACTTAAAACTACGTGCGACTGAATTCTCATTAGTATAGGTTTAGTCCAGAACGCTTAGTGTATAACTATGGTGCCAAGAATTAACAAACACAACGCGTAAAATTAGGATTATCTAGGGTGATTCATCAAGCCAAATAATTTGATTCAACTATATCATCGCACTATTCGTACGCACCAATTTTTCGAACCAAACAAACAGAGCCAATCTATTAATAGAGATTTTAAATATTTACAATGTAAGTTGATTTGATTCCAATGAATAATTTATGACGAAAGTAGTTGGAACAGGATTTATACAAATTTAAGCGACATTTTAGTTAACTTGATATTTATGCCTGGAAATGAACAAACTAAATGCTAAATCAGGCTTAATATTTCGTGAACGACAGAAACATAATCCAGTAAGAAACTGTCTAAATAAAAATACTACATTGCCGCAAAGGGCATTTTAGTTTTAACCTAAACAGATCGACACTAAAAAAATGAAGAATGCTGTTGTTGTAAAAAGTTTGAGAATTGTCTAATTCTTAATTCACATAAAGGAATGTTTCCATCTACAAAACCATTGGAAGCCAATAAGCAATGGATAGCAGTTTTGTTAAAACCGATGACATTTTGGTGGTGTCGGGTTACAACCTTTAGATAACAATGCAATAATACTGAAAGCTTAAGATTATTCCAGAAAGTTTAACTTTGGCAAGAAAGTGAATGAATAAAGTTGAGAAGTTTTATGTGAGAGCGAACATCTGTTCAATACCTCATGAATCGCAATATCCATCTATAAGGTAAGTTAGGAAATAACATCTAGACAGGAAGTTATTAATTGTTCCTTTTTGACTGAAAAAGAACTGTGGAAGCGATTGAATTGTACCAAAAATGAACATTTATTGATAAAACGGAGAATACAGTAATTCACTATAAGGCATAAAATCGTGAAAGGCTATTTTTTGAATGGCTGATTATTCTATTACTGTAATAATAGCAATTAAGTAATATTTTTACATGATAGAAAGCTCTTAACATTTTGTTCATTCTTTAATATTTGGTGTCTACGCCTTTTACGGTTAAACGAAATAAGAGAAAAGGGATAAAAATTTGGGGAGGAAAGTAGGCCAAATAGCAAGAGGGTTTTGTCTGATAGAACAGTAATAATATCGATATTTCTCGTAGACATTTATAAATAAGAATGAATAATCTTTTGTCATTTTCGAGGCGTGGCAATTTAGATGAAAATATAAACAATCACGAACCATATCTGATATGTTGGGTTGCCTCGGTTACCACTTGCAAATAAGTGCGTAGCGCGTAATTTTTCATTGCATATATATTTTCAGTTTTTTCAGAAATAAACTAAGCAAAAGGAACATTAGGTAATACTAATTACGGAGACTATTAAAACTGCGTTATCAACAAACGGAATTGCTGATCTCCGATTTATTAAACACTGAAAACTGGAATACTAGACTAATCGGTAAGCTTGAAATTAGAGGTCATGGAAATGAACAACGAATTTGTATGCATTAAATAGAGGTGACTGTCTGGAGAGGTTTTTAAACCAAGAACATGATTACTAAGAAAATTAAGATAAAGAGATGACCAACGACCGAACATCTCGGAAGTTATCACGAGCTGATAAATCGTTACTTACTAACCAAATAACGTTTTAGTTTGCTGGCTTAGAGCCACAATTCAGTGTGATAGCATTAGGAAGCTAAACCGAAGGTGGAGTGGGACTGAAAGCTGAGACTTAATAATCGTACCTTGGACGCTTTAACCACTAGGACAACGCACAAGGATCCTCAGACTAACAAACAATTATTTTCTTGACATTAATAAGTGACTTAATTGGAAGAGAAACAAGTCTGCCTGATACATCAACCTGTCTATGAAGTTCCGTTGACCTGCTTTTTTATAAAAAGAAACAGCTTGTTGAGATACTTTAAAAATAGGCTAGAAATCGGACCCTTCTCATCGTTTCAGAGCCTTTGAACAGAATTATTATACAGGTAAACTTTATCTGCAACAACCAATTTTGATAATCTATAAATATATACTTATTGTAGGATGACTAGTTTTTATTAAAGATACCTTAACAAAAGTTAAGTTGGGTGTTTAAGAAATGCTTCTTGAAAACCATGCACATAGAAATCCCTACCAGTTCAAAGATAGAGACATTGTAGCGCAGCAGGAGGAAAGGGTAATCTTAAATAAATGACCTGTAGCAAAAGAACGAGATTTGATATAGAAGAAAAGCAGTGCAGGTAAAAGTTTTATCGTACAAAAACAGTGAGTTAGTCTTCTGATTTGAATTTTTTACTTTGTGGAGTATTAGACGCAGAAAAATTTGCACCCCGTTTTCCTCCGAACGAGTGACGTTCACCACCACGCTGACCATTCATTTCTCTCCCACCACGAAACCCGCCTCGATTGCTGTGACCACCTCCATCACTCCACCGTCCACGGGAGCCACCACGTCCCCCTCGGAAATCGCCACGAGCACCTCGAGAGTCCCCCCTTCCTCGAACACGTGAAAAATCATGTCCGCCCCGACCACCTCTTTGATCACCACGACCACGACCACCCCTTTGCCCTATTGTTAAGAAAGTAATTTGGTGATTACATGACTTCGTAAGTTAAGAATTTAAAAGTAGTAGATAAAAGAACTTATAAATGTTCCTCAGTTGACAAGGTGTGCAAATGATTCACAGCATTTAAGTACTTTTAAAAAGTATCTAAGAAAGGTCTGAGGATGAAAATTAGATTGTATTTTTTACTTTTTATATAAAATGCCTTGACCGGACTGTTCAAAATGTGTGGGGTGAATACATCACAATTCTCATATCAGCTTTATTGTTTCGTTGTTCAGCCAAGCCAACAAATTTACGATAAGTTGAACATTCTTGAAGTTGACTTTTTAATAGATGAAACAAGGATCGACAGAAAGGAAACCTGAGAAAACGAAGAACTCCATTCTTAACACAATGGATTCTTTTATTCAACAGACTTTTTATTGACCGTAACTGAACAGTTAAGCAAGTCTAGCCTATGCTCGCAATCTAAAAAATGTTACTACAATCGATTCTATTTTTAAAAAACGGCTTAATATCAATTGACCAATTTGTTTTCGTATTAATGTTATTTTTTACTGATATTGACCTAATGTAGTAATACAAATGATTGGAATTCGAGTAAATAGACTTTAGTACCAATTTTGAGATAATAAGAACGAAATGTACAGGTTTGATAACGTTTTACTACCATACTAACTTGAACAAAATATGGTGATCCTGAACGATATCATGAGACAACACTGATCCTGTTGGTTCTCACAAAAAAGAGACGGAAACTTAGAGGTAACAACTAGATGTGAGTCATACAGTTTATTTACACCAAACAAGTTCATAATGATACAACACACTTTTTATCACAGGCCCCCTAATACAACCATCTGCTTCGGTCTGGGAACCTGGGTAGTATCAAAGCCCTTACACATATCGATGATAACTGCTACCAGCATCATTGTTAATGTGTGGTGCACATGTATTTCCTGCCATCTGATAACAATGTTTGTGTCCCCAAATAAATAAAGCAATAATAAGACGTCATTTGACTCAACATAGGAAAGTTTATAATGTGCGATTAGATTTCCAGTCCAAAAACAAAACTAGTGTAGCGAAGTATTATACATTCAAGAAACAACTAAGTTACGAGTGGCTCATATTTAATCTGGAACTGCAACATCGTTATTTTGAACAATGTTTTGATAATTGATAAGATTTTCACGCAGTTATGAGCATACTGACATATATTACTAACAGTGAAATAACTTGGTCGCTAATCGTTTCAAGATCACAGAACCAACACCAAAACAATATGTATGATAATGATCCTCCTCAGGAATCGCTGACTACTGACTGCACTACGAATATTTTGACCCGAAAAACATGACGTATTCCATTAATGAAACCATTTCTCCGCACTATAGGACTGAGTTTGTGGTAGCAATGAAATTTAAAAAAATATGCATCTAAAACAACGGAGAATAAAAGGTCGGTAAACGTCATGGTCTAGAGCAGTAATAACAGACTATGGGATTTGAAATCACAATTAAGATATAGCATTAAGGATTATGATCGTAGTTGTAAGTCGCTTTTAAGATGGCTTTTTGGCTAGTCCATGTGTGGCATAAATCCTAATTTAATGACACAATGCCATTCAGTAATGTTAGCGATACTAAGCTATAATTAGAATAAACTTTAGTCAACTCACCTCTACTACAATTTGGGTTCATCACGCGATCAAGTGTGAGAAACTTAGCAGGATCCATAAAGAACTACAGAATATTGCATGAACTTGGTAACAATGAATACCTTAACACCTTCTTGAAAAGATTTGCTTTTAAGTGTATCTGAAAGTTTGATTGAGAAGTACTAGCCAAATGAGTTAGGTAACAAAAAAATAAGAACAATACTGCATCTTTAATTGGACCAAAAACTTCATCAACTTTGCCTATTTCCTCTTTGTTCGCCAAATAAACAGAAGCATTTGAGTAAGGTATTTTTTCAGATGTGATTTTACAGACAATATCTTCTTGACACGGATGAGCGAATACCCCAACTTCGACCACCTCTTCAGGCGGACCACTTTGAAACTTATCAGAAAAACTTCCTCCTCTAGAGCCTCTTCGAAAACCACCGTGAGAACCACGTGAACCACCCCCTCTCCCTCTGAAATTTTGAAAGCCCATGACTCACGCCGAAAGAAATCGAAAACCCGCCTTCCTCAGGTCACGAACAGGGACGTTCGACGACCTTCACTGTTAAAAGCAAAACACATTTCGAGAACGTATAAAATACCCTTGGCACACAGGTTTTCACACCTCGTCATCATTTCTTGGAACCTGTTCTTCGAAACAGTGATGTCCGCACCTTCAATTGACTTATTCAAGAGAAGACTGAGCACTCATAGAAGCGTACTAGAAAAGGAAAAACATAGGCCATAGGCCTTCAGTCATAACTACACAAATGTGAATCAGATTATTGCGATGAATTACAAGTTCATATCAAGTAATCGATGGTCAAATAAATATACGTATTTTCTCATATTGAATAGCGGCTGAAGCAAACGATAATGTTCGTTCAACTTGTCATTCGTTTTGATCATCTCCAAATTATTTGTGAGTCATCACTGACCGCTATTTTAATGAGACATCAAAACTTTAATTCTTTCATATATGTAGTCACAGGGTTCTTATCATTTACAAACTACAGAAAGCTCTATTTATACAACCTACATTCCATATCGACTACAGAAGTGAAATTTATGAATACAACTTTCGAGAACGCTCTTCATTTCGTCCTTGCTTTTGACTCTTTCAGATGTCCTCTCTCGCAACTGCCGCGTCCTACCTAACCAGGATATCCTGTTGCACCAACCGGTTACAAACTCCCTACTAGTTGATAATCTTGAAGGCAGTGTGGTTTTATCATCTCATAACACTACTCTTTGACTACGCAACTTCTCATGTAAACTTGCTGTGCATACACCTGTTGGGAATGCCAGAATTGTGATGAATATTAAGTTTTATGTCCCCTCTAAAACTCGGGATGGTGTTGAGAATTATTTATTTGTATTTATTTATTTATATGTAATACAGCAACGTCCAATGCTATGGTAAGTCTTATAAACTAATTTCTTTTATGCAGTTAGTTCCCTTTATGAATTTAAATAAAGACAGAACAAATATTGATGCAGAATAATATGAATTCATTACATTTCGTGGTTTCTCATCAGCTGCTTACAATCAAATCTGCATTAGAGTTTTAGAATTGGTTGTAAGCAGCTGATGAGAAACCACGAAATATAATGAATTTATATTATTCTGCATCAATATTTGTTCTGTCTTTATTTAATTTCTTTTACTGCTTCCGAGTATGTGTAAAACGTTTGCCTAAAGTGTGTTCAATCTTCAGCAGCTAGAGTACTAGGTAGTTCAATTTGTGTTAATCCGTACAGCTTGTTTTTAATGAGAATCCAGCTTCTCCTTGAAGATGTTGACGAATAAAGCTCATGCAACTTGTTCAGATAAGAGGTTCCAGTAAACGATGTGCTGTTGGTCAGTCTCTAACCAACGGTTGCTATAGTCTCGCGGATCCCAAACAGGTAGTCTACACCTACCAACACGGCCTAGTCCACTTGTCATCGACTTCATGGATTTATGCCATGTTTTGGTCTGGCCGCATCTAGCTTTCTTCCAATCTACTACTACACTATAAAACATCGCTCGTTGGAGCAGTCAGAGGTTGGGTATGTATAACACATGTCTCAGTCGCCTCAACTGATGAAGTTTCAATACTTCGTCAATCGACCTGCCATCCTTATCTACTACCCGTTTCCTAACATCTGCATTACTTACCCGGTGGTCCCAGGATATACGAGCAATGCTTCAAAGACACCTATGATCGAATACTAGTAACCTAAGAATATCCTCTACTCTTATAAGTCATGTTTCACTGCCATAAAGTAGGACGGAACGAACTGCTGCACAGTAAATCCGTCCTTTGGTTGCTAGACGGATATCTCGCCTACGCCACAAGTGACGCAAGTTGGCGAAAGCTAGACGAGCCTTCTGTATCCGTACTGAGATTTCGTCACACACCAGACCACAAAGGCTGATGAGACTCCCAAGATAAGTGAAGCAGTCAACACGCTCAACTACTTCACTCCCTAACATTAGTTCAGGTGTCGATGCAACCCAATCCTGAAGTAACATTTTGCACTTCGAGGGAGAGAATCGCATCCCGAATATGCTTGCATTGTTGCTTACGGTGATCAGAAGACTGCATTTTGTCAGCGTCCTCACCAAACAGAACTATGTCGTTGGCGTATTCTAAGTCAACAAGTGAATCTCCCAGTAAAAGTTCAACTCCAGGAGATTGAGATAATGAAAGTGATATCTCTAAAAGCACCTCAAAGACAATGTTGAAGAAGAATGGAGAGAGTGGACAGCCCTGACGAACATCACTTGAGGTAATCAATTCTGATGACAGTTCGCCATAGGCTCTTACTCGGTAAGGTGTGTTCGAGTAGAGAGCCTGTATATGGTTAATGTATTTCTTTGATACTCCTTTCAGTGATAAACACTACCACAGAACTTCACGATCAACAGAGTCAAATACCGCCTTAAGATCGGAAATTACTACTATTGTGGGACGTCTGAATGTATGTCTATGTTCTAGGACCTGACGTAGAGTGAATATCTGGTCTATACAGCCACGTCCAGGTCGAAAAACAGTCTGCTCTTCACGAGTTTTGGTTAGCCGTCGAAGTATTATTGAAGCTAATATTTTAGACATTATATTAGTCAGACTGATTCCTCTGTGATTGTCACGAGAGAACTTTTGTCCTTTCTTATAGAATGACGCAATCAGTGACTGAGAGCATTCGGATGAAATTACGTTCAGTTCCCAGATTCTACCTAAGACTTCAGTCATTCTAGTACTAGACCACCATCCTTAAAAATCTCAGGGGTAAACCTGTTAAGGTCTGTTGCTCTCCAAAGCCTCAGATTTCCTAAAGTTCTTTCAACCTCGTAAATATTCGGAGAATTAACATTAACTTTCCGTTCAGGTTGACTGGGGATCGTGGGAAACCGAAGTGTTGTTGAAGGCCATTTGAACTGATCCCTGAAATGTTCTGCCCATCGATCAAATCTCCTGGATTGAGAGTGAATAACATATCCATCTTTTTTCGAGATAGTCTCGCTAATAGTCGAGTTCGCCTAGGTGTCTTTCCCTTTCGCTTAGTCTACCTACTTGAGCATCGAAGTCACCAGCCCCTATTACTACATCACAGCGCCTAGCTTTTCGAAGAAGGTCGGAAAGCTTTCTGTAAAACTCATCTTTTACATCATCTGACCTGCAGTCAGTGGGAGAGCAGGCAGAGATGACGAAGAGGTAACGACAAGTGTCCCTATCTTTCCGAGTCATTCCTGATCCGTTTAGTCGGACAACGTACAGACGACTGTCTACTGTCCAGTCCAAAAGAGCTAGTTCTCCCATAGGACTCAATGCTATACCTACTCCAGTGAGGCAACGGGAAGCAGCATCAGGGCTTCCAGATACACGAAGCGTGTATCGAGATGGTTCTTTATTTTGATTAGGTGAGGTCAAATGAATGACACTACTCAGATCTTGTATGCGCGTTTCGGAGACGCAGCACACGTCGATGGTGTAAGATTCTAGAGTCCTAGCTAAGGAAGCCTGTTATCCTATTTGGCACAATGTTCGGACATTAAAAGTTCCTATATGTAGTTTAGAACGTGGTTTCAGGAGACCAGGAATAACGTTCCGTGTACTTGAATCATTCGCTCTAGCGGTGCGAGGTGATAAAAGGACGTGGGAAGGGTTAGTCGTGGAGATAAGAGAGTTGTTAGGAGGTGTAGGAAGGATTTGAATGTGACCATCTTGGTCTCGTGTGCTGTTACGGATATGAGGGCTAATATCACTTCCCGGTTGCCCACACCGTGGAAGGGTATTTCTTGAGGGACCTGAAAAAGAAGTCGGATTAGTGTTGGTCTTAACGACCAGGGAGCGTGACCGCAGTGCCCAAGGGACAACTGCCTGGGGCCGGTCACACACGGCCTTTTTGTGGGAGATTTATGACATGTTAGCTCCGTTCTTCAAACGGCCTTACCACCGGAGACGGAAATCCTTGAGATGAGGTGAGGCGTGACATTTTTAGGGTCGACCTTTCCTAACCCCTTCTTTTCTTATGAGAAGGTAGCATCGCTGTTATGCTGGTTGTCCGAGGGAAACACCTTATTGCTGTCACACCCCTCTACAGTCAGCAGTACGACTTCGCCCCCAGACCTTGAGTTGCTGCTTTTAGTCTTACCGTTCTTCTATCGACCTGCCTGGCATGGTAGAACCTACACGAACACAAGTTCCAGCCAATGTAGCTCGGTTGGGTCATCACCATAGGCAAGCCCGACCGCCACGTTAAGATAGCAGCTACGGTCGGGAGCTATGTGATATATGTACTATTTAAGGCATTACTAGTTTTAAATTTCTGTTTTTGTACTTAATAAGAATCGAACTTTTGTGTAGTTCGATCCAAGGATAAATATAACTTGCTGCAGGACGAAAAGATTCCTCTGTATACAGCCTAGCAAGTGATATCAAATGCAAATTGCATTCTAATTTATGCTATTAGTAACCGTCGTATTAACCGCTTAACCAAAACTCACATAATAGATAATCTTGATGATATTCAATTTACCAGTTCGCAGTAACTCAATTCAAATTGGATTTATCCGAATTCACTTCTTATCCTAACTGCAAATTGTTGTAGCAAAGCCAAGACGAGTAATTAATGAACGAGTAAGTCACTAATGATTAGTGCATTGTTTGAAATATCGTCCTTGACCATCAGAATTTGAGTTTCCATTCATACTTTAAGAATTCCTAAACGTGCTTTTTGACAGGGTCTGTTCGAAATTTCAAGAAATAAATCATTTTTCATAATATTTATTTACACCGCTTTATAAACTATTCTCATCCTAACAGCTCGAAATAGTAGCTGTCCATCAAGCAACTTTACTGCGGTGCAGTTCCTCGTTTTATAGGGTCAAATTCTATGATGACATCGACTCCACTTAGCACAGATAGCTGGTAGTATGGATCATTCTTATCTCTTCCACAAAACATTCGTAGTTTAGATGACGAAAGACTTCCACCTAATCATGATTATCAATATATGGGATATTGTATTACAAAAAAGAGTTCATTCGATGGTATTGTGAACTGTGA